ACTTCATATCATAGGATATAGATTTTATTCCAATAAGTTATTGGTTCCAAGATAGTTTATCTTTGTCACCTCTTCCCGGTACCTCTTGCATCTTTTCTTTTTTCTTGTTTACATGTTTCATTTGTTTATCTTGTCTAGGCGTTGGAGTGATACAGGATGTATCACCACCAGCCAGGAGGATGTCTCAACGACTTGCTCTTGTGGACATACTACTAGCTTTGCCGTTCTGGTCCAAGTCGTTGAGTTTGAGGTATTAATTCAATTCAATTCAATTCAATTCAATTCAAATTTATTGGTCAAAAAGAAAATTTGTTGCGTTTATATGCATTATTCACAGAGAAAAATTAATATAATGTACATGTGACATGATACATACAACATAAAACGAGTATATAGAGAGGATAATTAGCACTTTAACCCATTGCTTACGGGAACCTGGTGGTCCCTGTGTTAAGCCTATGGGAATAAGATAATTCAGTAGTAAACGGGTTAACTTTCACATTACATAGATATTTTCTCTGAATTTACATTATTGACAATATTATTTCATGTATCCAGAGTAATCACCAAAACACTATAACATTGTAATTATTATTACTATTATCATTATTGTTATCATTATTATTTGTATTGTTATAATTATGAGTTTGAATAATTACATCGTTATGTCAATAAAATATTAACCTATCGTATCATATAGGCAGGGCTCTTTGAAATGTCAATACTCTTCATTGAAAGGGCAACCCTGTAGAAAGAAGATTTAAATAGATGAATCAGTCAATCAATATATAAATAATTAGATATATGAATGAATGAATAAATACATACAAAATACATGATTAAGCAAATGCATAAATTATAAAAATGAATGATAAGATTGTAACTAAGAAGGTGGATACAAAATAACTTGAACCAACTTTAACTTATAGTTAACTGAATTAAGGAGCGCAAAGTATCAATCTCTATTCTGAAAAAGTTCATTACGTTTATTACTAATTTTGTCTAACAATTGATGAAATGAAATTAATTTAGTTATGACATTTTATTACATGATTTTGCTTGTTTGTTTAGTGACAAAAATTAAAGAAGTCATCTCTTGGAAATCTATAGATTAATGGACTAACTCTGCCCGTTTAGTTGGGGTTTAACCAAATTAAAGTTATTCTAGTAGTAGGCTTTTAGAGAATACAGACCTCAGATATTTTATCACTATATTAAGAAAAACAACATCAACCAGTATAGGCTTAAACATTCTAGTCTGGCCCATTTTTCAAATTCCTTGAAGATTTTATCATTTTCATTGCATCATTCAATTACATAATTATCTTATTATTTGTATTATTATTTTCATTAGTAGTATTATTATTGTTGGTATTATTATTATTACTACTAGTAGTAATATTATCATTATCATTTTTATCATGAAATTATTATGATTTCTGTTATTATTATTACTATCAATTTATCATAATTAATATTGTCATCATTATTATTTATATTGATCTTGTTTTGGGGGTAATTGGTATTTACTTTTTACTCCTAGATCAGCAAGGCTGATGACCTGGCGATGACTATACTCTCCTACTTTGGAATCAGTTTATCCATCTTGTGCCTCGTCATAGCGCTCTTTATCTTCTTTACTGTAGGGTAGGTCGAACTCATAATATTCCATCTCATCTACACTGAAACAAGGGAGAAGGTTATTCTGAGTAATGTCCAACCAAGAACTTCCGTCAAAATGTCCACACAGATCATTTTGACGACGGATAGTCAACCTGTTCGAAACGTCGAGCCACTCCCGCTACCCATCTTCTCCAAGCGCTATAGTTCTCCTCAGAACTATAAGCTAAGAAAGATAACCAACAGTCCTTTTCAAGACTACACCAACAGTCCTTTTTAAGACTACACCAAAAGTCCTTTTCAGGACTACACACCCTCAAGAAAGATTACCGAGAGTCCTTTTCAGGACTCCTTAATCCTCCCTCTCTCTCACATGGTGCACCCGCAAGCCTACTGTATATAGATCATCTTGTTCGTTCACCAACTTTATCACCATACTTGCCAAACTAAAGCTATTACTCAGTTTATCGTGTTGTAACAAATATGTGAAATATATGGTTAGTTGTGCCAAATGCAAGAATTTTGTGGGGATTTTTTTTCTTCAAAGACGGTGACGAACTAAATACAATTTTAAAATAGCTTAGACTTTTACGCAAAGGTGCGGGAGCCTTGCTGTTAAGGCTCTCTACTCTCCCGGATTCGAACCTTGCTTGTTCGGTGCTTACATCTCTTTACAAGGTGCATTGCCCACGTTTGCCTCGCTCAACCCAGGTGCATTGAAGGGTGACTGGCAATAATAATCAGAGGACTCAGTAAGAGCAGAATATTTAACTAATGAAGCTAAACAAATAAAGACCATATCATTATTTTGTATCCATATTAATACTATTATTATACTAAAATGAAAGAAGCATCGCTTTGGCGATGGTTATCCTATTATCTAGAAACTACTCCAAACAAGTAGAAGAGACATACTTTCCAACAACAAAAAGACACAAGGAAATAAGAAGCCAAAGCCAAAAGCAAGATGCATTTACTCCTCGACCAATGATTGTACATCATAAGCTTACCGCAAACTGTACGATCTCCTTACAATCAGATGTTTCGAAGAAATTGCAATCTTGATAAACATCATCTTCGTGAGTTAGGTTCTAATTAATAAGAATATACCAACAGCCAAAATATTAGTGGATTTAGTCCTTCTTAACAGAATAAAAGCAAAATCTGCTTGAAATCGTAAACAATCGCACTACTGATGCGACATCATTACGATCCAAGCGCATGAATTTTCCCCATCTGAGGAAGCTTGAACTCCCTAAAAGAAAAATCTTTTTTTCATTCATAACAATTCAGATCCACAATCATTAAGATTTTACAGGTTTTGATGTCCATATCGAATGCTATTGCAAATTCTTCCATGTCTGATCGTAGTCAGATCGTAGTCAGATCGGATCATATCGTATACGGTGAGCTTTATCTTACGTAACTTTGATTTCAGAGCCCTACGTACATCTGAACGCAATATGATTCATCGCAACCTGATGATCGCTCTACTCCTGGCCTATGTCGTCTTCTTGGGAGGTATCCAATACGCAAGGGTCATTCCAGTAAGTACATTCCTTATGAATACACTCATACTTATCATTACTATTCTTGTAAAGTGGAAACAGACACGCTAAGGTCATCCCAGTATTCTTCATGAATGCTCGAATACTTGTGTATAGTCTAATAGCTTGAATCAACCAAGGTAAGGTAATTCCAGACTTTTCCAGTAAGTATTCTTTACGATCGCTCGTATACTTATCTATAGTCATTCCAGTATTCCTCATGATCTTGGCTTCAATCAAACAATGTAAAGGTCATTCCAGTAAGTATTCCTTACGGTCGCTCTTATACTTACTTATACTTACTTATATATTCTTCTTAGCTTGATTCCAGAAATAAAACGAGGAAATAATGCGATATTCCCAGCCATCATGAAGGTTAATTGAAAGCGAGGTGTTAAGAGCTATACAACATGTCAAAACGATAATTATCTTTGTCGTATCCTTTATTTATTAATCATTTTAATTACAGATTGTGTGTACTTTTGTAGCAGCCTTCTTTAACATTTCCACCACCTTGCACTGTTTGATTTGATATTTATCTCAGAGACAGTAGCTTATGATTGCAATTAAAGCCATGTGTACCTTTCACTTTCTGACTTTTATTTATTAATCATTTTAATTACAGATCATGTGCACCATTGTAGCAGCCTTATTACATTATCTCTACCTAGCCGTCTTTGGTTGGATGCTGATCGAAGGCATACATCTTTATCTCATGCTTGTCAAGGTACGAACAACTTGCAACTCTTTGACTTCTGATTTGCCTCATTTTCGTAAAGGCCTTAACACACAGGAACCACCCTTTTTCGAGTGGCTAATGGGTTAACAAAAATTATAATTCACTTTTGCCGGCCGATGGTTCAATACTATGTGTATTTAATCTAACTTAAAGACAAATAGGGCGTATAAATATGTATTGTTTTTTTTACCTGGACAAGTGTTGGTAGTTTTACGAGTTTACATTAGCGGTGGCTGTGAAAGTATACTACTATGCACTACAAGTAATTTAGTTTCTGTCTAGTGAAATAGTTCAGACAAAATATGCTGACACGGGTGACTGAGCACCAATGTTTTTTTCGAAAAATGTACGCCTATAATGAAATTGGGTAATGCCTTGTAGGTTTCCGTTGTAAACATCAGCTCTAAACTATCATGACTATATATTTTATTGATTTTTGGTTTGTGTTTAATTTCATTCACCTATTACAGATGTCCGAGTTTGTTTAAATTATGCTGACCTTCATTTATGACAAAGGCTTGTTAAACACAATTGTGTGTTTGGGCTTTTAGTTGTTATTGTTTTTGCTTGTTTGTTTATTTAATTTTTTGCTCCTTTTTTGGTACGTTCTGCCTGTAGGTGTTTGGATCAGAAGGCAGTAAGCAGATGTACTATCTGGTGATTGGATGGGGTGCTCCTGTCATCGTAGTTGCTATAACAGTTGGGATCAGGCATCACGAATACGGAACAGAGGATATGTAAGTATTCCCATTATTTAAAACAAAAGGTGTCTAATCCACTCTCGGGATTGATACCTGCATAATTATGCTTTAAACATTCCCACCCCCCCTCTCTCTCTCTCTCTCTCTCTCTCTCTCCTCTCTTTCCCTCTATCTCTCTCTCTCCCTCTCTTTCCCTCTATCTCTCTCTCTCACTCTCTCTCTCTCTCTCTCTGTCTCTCCACACTTTCTCCTCCTTCTTCTTCTACTACTTCTTGTCTTTCTCCTTCTTCTTCTTCTTCTTCTTTTTCTTCTTCTTCTTCTTCTTCTTCTTCTTCTTCTTCTTTTTCTTCTTCTTCTTCTTCTCCTTTTTCTTTGAAAGAAGTTTATCCACACGCAAGACACCCACCCCACCCCGCACCTCATATAGACCAGAATCTACATTGCTCCTACACCACCTTCTGAGAAAACAACTGTTCGTCCAGGGACCCGTTTCACAAAGCCTTTTTTCAACGACAGTTGACAAAAAACAGTGACAAATCTGCTGATAACCAATCAGAAGCAAGGATTCCACTAGCTTATCAAAAAAAACCTGTCATTTGTCACTGATAAACATTTTTGTGGAATGGGGCCCAGTTCTGTGTGGTCCTAGCCCCTGAAATCCAAGTTCGATACCCTAAATGCACAATAATAGGGTTTCCGTTTAACCGTGTAATATTGTTAATGCCCTGTGCTATCACCCTTACAGATTCCACGATCAGCCTCTGCTGATATCTCTGCTTTTGAGATCTGTACGAAAGGCTTACGTAATGCAATATAAAAATTAAAAAATGATAGGCAAAAAGTTAAATCTTATTAATATTAAATTTCTTTACAAAGATTCTGAAAGATATTATTTTACAGTCGAAGCACCATTTACAAATGGATTTTTTTCCTTCATTTGCGGGGTCGAAATTCAGTCTTTTTTTTAGTGACTTCTGAAACATATAAGTGATAACATTTACACAGCAGTGCTTAGACTATGTCTCATTCTATTATCGTCTACCTGTCATTAGGTGTTGGATCAAGCCTGGTTCGGGTGCGATCTGGGCCTTTGTTGGACCGGTCATCGCAGTTATCCTGGTAAGTGAATAAGGAGGATCACTATGGTATAGGGGTCGAAGGCTCTTGACTCTCCTACGAGAGGTCCCGGGTCCGAACCTTCCTAAGTGCTTTCACCCTTAGACAAAGCACTTTACTCACTCTTGTCCCTCTGGACCCAAGGGGGGGGGGGGTGTTTCACAAAGATTCTACGTCCCTACCTAATTCTAATTTGTACTTAAAAATTATGGAGAGCCATTTGTAGCCTTAAAATAAAATATATTCAAAAGCAAAAATTCAAGCATTTTAGACTTTTTATAAATTCCTTATCATGAACATGAAATATCCTTGATAATAAAAAATATGAATGATTCGAATCAACTTTTTATGCCTTTTAAAATAACTTGTACACAATATTTTCAAAGATGCTAATTAAAGCTTTCCATAATAATGTTAAATCCAACTTAGAGATAAGTTCAACTTAAGATCTTTGTGAAACACCCCCCAGAGGTATTAAATTGGTACCTAACAGTGCTGAGGTACCTTATTGCAGGTCCCTCAGAGAGACAGTGATAACCCATTGACTCCTGGTACCGGTGGATCCTGTGTTAAGCCTATGGGAATTAAACAATTCAGTAATCATCAGGTTAATGCAATATTTTCAATTATTATCATAATCCTACACTTTCAACAGCTTCACATGAAACAGATCATGCCCTGACTGATGACTTAATATTTTATAATGAATTTAGATGGAAAGTAATAGTAATCAATCGGTTTAGGTGCAATTTAAGGAATTATCGGGAGGTTTAAGGGCAATGGGATTAATCCCGCCCCCCCCCCCCCACAAAAAAAAAAACTTAAAAAAAGAGGTTAGTTTATGACCCTTTACTAACTGTGATTCAATTGTTTCATATTATAGTACAAATGTTTTGTCCTTAAACATGTTTATATAATTGTCACAAATTGACAGCAGCCAATGAGGATCAGAAAACAAGCTATGAAATAGGATTTGAAAATAGAATTTAGCATGATGTTCGTTTGTTTATAATGGAAATGATGGAACCCACTTTTACTTATTTGAATTAAATATGATGCAAATACATAGGTTAGTGATCAAATTGATGCTGCCATGGTCGTTTTATTTTCCTTAAAGAGAAGGTTGAGTTTTTGGGAAGAGGTGAAAAATAATTTGTGAGCGTTCTCATTCTTATTATGCAAGTGTGGAAGAACATCAGATAAGACATGTTTCCTGAAAAGCATGGCTCTTCACATGCCTTCATATTCTAAATATTTCATGTAACATACGCCACGTTTTCTTGTAGTTCCATATACTGTACATCTTTATGTGTACAGTGTTTGTAACTTTACCAAGACTTGGCCAAATTTCATATCATGTTGATGATTCCAAAACCTTGCAATACACACAAATTCTTATATGCTAAATGATCAACCTTTTCTGGTCGATTCCACACCGTTTCTTTAACAATGCAATCGCATGACCAGAACTCAACTTCATCTTTAAAATGTAATGTTGTCTTTCATACAGTTCAATTTCCTCGTTCTGTGTATGGTGTTGCGTATCATCTACCGATCATCTGCGATCAACGTCGATTGCCCCATCGATCAAGTCAAGTATGATTCCATTCTTAACCCTTCCATTCTCATTCGTAGATCAATCATATATTAATTTTTTGCTCCATGTTGGAGTCATATCTTGTATACACATGATCGAAAGTAACTAAAGATTACACTTGCCTGTCAGGCACTGTGAAGTTTCATTCCCCTCCCCGATGTATATGTAGTGAATAAATAA